TAAGTCACCTGTTTTTCCTGTCCTGAAGTTTGGCTTGAACTTCAGCAGCTTGTTTTGAACAGGTGTACCTACCAAAGTAGTTGGTGAATGCATTCTGCACAGTTGTAACTGACTAAATAAACTTCACAACCTAAACCAATTGGCTCAAACAAAACCAGTATGACTGGAACTTAAATTTTCCTGTTAACAATAGAGGATTTATTGCAGATAAGCACCGGTGGGGCTACTACATGTCAAGTGGTAGAGTGGGTAGGCAAACAGCTTGTGTTAAAAGGTTTAAGTGCCCTTGACTCACACATTTGAAAGCCAGAATTGCTCCTGATGTACAAAACCAGGGCGAAAAACCAAACTGAAAGATTTTCCCAGTGAATGTGAAGCAAAGCTCGAGATATAAACACTAGCAAATTAATCATTCATTTTATACAACCTGTTTCCAGAAAAGATGTGACATTGTGTAAAATATAAATAAAACTTACAATATAAATAGCTCGTGCTCAATTTGATTCTAACTAGATGTTTCAAAAGAGGTGGGATAGGGGTATGATTCCCTCCGTGTTGCCTCATTTCTTCTTTTAGCAACACTGTGTAAGGGTTTGGGAGCTGAGGAGATCAGCTGATAACTTTTGAAAGTTTTATAGAGGATTTCACCTGTGCAACAGTTAAGGGCCCTAAAAATACACTAAATATTGTCTGGGGGGTGGCATGTTTGGACTGCAGGCAGACGGGTTTTGCAGCTGGGTTCTTTCACTGCGAAGCAATGCTGTCGCAGCATGTGCAGAATGTCTTCTGTATTGCACAATGTTATTAAAAAACATAACCTGTATAAATTGTTCTGCATTAATAATAGCTTGACAAATGTGAAAGTTAACCAAGCCAAAAGATCACGCCGTTCATTTTTGGTTTCCAGGTTTCCTTGGATGACTCTAAATGGTAGCATGTAGTATTAGTGGCAAGAGGGCGGAGCAGTGTTTAGCACTGTTGCTCCACCCACCAACAGGGGCCTTTCTTTGTAGAGTTCACATGTTCTCTCTGGGTTCTCCGTAGGGGTCGGGGGAAAAAATCGATACTGTGTAGTATCGTGATATTTTGTTTGCTAATAATGTATCGATA